GGGGTTCATTTATAATTTACAAGTTTGTTTGGGTTTAATTTCTAAAAAAGTAAGAAGATAAGAGTTAGGAACAAAATAAATAAAAGATAAATGAGAAAGGGGAGAAAAGTGTTCATTATGGATGAAGGTGTTGTGTCATGCACTGGGGGACTTTAAAGTCAATTGAGTAATATTGTTTGCAATCGAAATTAAGCAAACTTAGGCAACAAGTATCTAGGTCTTTGTACAAGTGGTGTCATCCCACTATCTAAAAGCTATACAAATGTGTCGTGTAAAGGGAAGAAAAAGAGAGAATGTGGAAAAAAAGTGAGGTTTTGACAGATCAAAAGGTGATTTTAATTTGAATTGTTTATAGATTCGGATATAGTTTTTAGTAGTTTTAATTAAAAAAAATTTAGGTACAAAATAGTATCTAATATGTTTTTATTTTTAAAATTTTGTTTTTTACAATGAGTGTTATTTTCATTATCTTAAAATTTTTATTGAAGTTAGTTATTTTTCGTTAAATGTTAAATTATTTGTAGAATTGGCTCTCTAGCCTATGTTTTGGGATAATTATTTTGGAATTGATTGATATATATAGACAAAATGCACGGGAGACATATTTTGTAAGGTGTAAATTGTGATCATACAAGATGTGATTATAATCTTATAAGGTGTGATTGATTAATATGAGTTTGAATTTATATCAAATTAGGAAAAATTTGTGTCTGAAGATACGATACAATGTGAATGATTTTGAAAGAGATATTGACAGTTGTTTGATGAATCTATTTAGAGCAATACTATTAGGACATAATTTACTGACATAATTCACTGTGACTTTTAAATTCACTATAGACCTCAGCAAAACATTGAAATTTGGTATTGATATAATGATTCTTATGAAATCATATCATTATGTCAGTAAATTAGATCAAATTTTTATGTTTAAATAGTATTACTCATCTATTTGAGACCATCGAATGAATTTATTAAAACTTTCCTTATTTTATATTGTATATAGCAGTTACCATGTCACCAAGATAAACTATATATGAAAGTCGTGTGCGGTAATTGACTCAATTTTTTAACATGTCATATTGGATTTTAGATGCTGCAAATTTCATGATTACTTATCAATTATTGCGTTTGGAGCAAATGTATAATTGAAATACATAAGAAATTGTAGATGAGCGAATCTTAATATAATTTTTATAATATTAAAATTAAAAAATTTATTAATATTTAGGCATCAAATTTATAATTATTAATTATATTAAAATAATTAAAAATTATGTTAATTTTTATTAAAATAATTAGAACTCGGACCTATGTATCGATTGCCAATTGCCAATCTACAAATTGGGCGTAAATTCGGCACAAAATCATAAAATTGAATCCATTTGCCCAAAAAACTTTTTTTAATACCCAATTAGACTTAACCCAAAAAACAATCCCATTTCTTTGCCAAAGTAGTTTACAATTATGCTCTTGTACTTGCCATTAAACTTGCTTATATTCTTCCGATGTGGTACAATTGTGTTCTGACATTGCTTATATAGATTGCCAGGCCATTCAACATGCAAGACTTTATCGATGTGGGACATTTTCTTATTACTAATGTAAGGCTTTACTGTATTATGCCATTGTTTGTTACGATTTTGATATTCTCTTTTTTAATGCGTATCACAATATTATATATATAAAT